AAAAAAAAAAAAAAAAAAAAAAGTCTTGCACTCACCAGCAGCAGTGATTGGGGCCCATGGGCATTTGTGGCAAAGCCCCCCGCGCAGTGGGGGGCAGCTGCGATCGCCTTCCCCTGCTTAGCATCCACACAGCAGCTGCTGCATTGTGCAGGTTCCAGGTGGCTCAGCAGGGTGCTGTGCACTGTCTGGGAACTGGGGCCACTGGGGCTGAGCAGTGCCAGGCTCTGGTTCACTGCAGGAGCTCCCAGATGGCGTGCGGTGCCCTACCAAGCTGTGCTGCACCCATGCCATGGGGCAGCTGCCACACAGGTGCCAAGCGGGGTGTGGGGGGGCAATCACCACTGCCCCACTCTGCAATGGGGGGGCTCTGCCATGAGCCCTCAGAGGCCCCAGTTGCCGCTGCCAGAGTGTGGGGCTTTTTATTTTAAAGTGCCAGGAGGCTGGGCTGGGCAGGGGATGGGGCTGGGCAGGGCAGCCACAGGGGCTTCTCCCGCGGCTCCCCTGGCTGTGCCTCTGCCCTGCCAGGAGGAGCTGAGGGGGCTCTGCCCTGCTGCCACTTGCACAGCTGGTGCTCTCCCCAACCCCAGCCCTAATCCCTCTCTCCCCACTCCCCTAACCCCACCAGACTTACCAGCTGGAGGCAGCTGTCAGCTGCCTGTTTAATCTATGGCTGAATCTTTTCCGAAGCTTTTCCGAATTGATTCCAAATTGATTTGGAGCTTTTAATTGGTCTCCTGATTCGATTTGGAGATTCAGCCCCTGAATTGGGCCAAATCTCCTCTGAGTCAAATTGGCTACCAAAGCTTCACACAGCCCTGCTTTATAATATCTCTAAGCTATCCCCTTCCACTTCAGCATTGTCGCAATTCCTTGTGAGTCTCTAAAATCCTCCAGAAACTTTCCCTGGGACACATGGCATTTCTTTGGCTTCTAGGCCATTTCTCTCAAAAATCTTTGCTATAGAGCAGGGATATCAAACGTACAGCCCACAGGCTAGATATGGCTTGTAGAACCACATGATTTGGCCTGTAGGCCTTGGACCACCCACGCATGTTGCATGTGGCACATGGGAGCCAGTGTGGTGGGCAGGCTGGCCTTGATGCTGTGGGTCCTACGTGTGGCACGGGAGGTCAGGCTGGGGTTCATGCTGCATGCACTGCCCATATTCAGTTGGAACTGTGCTGTGTGCAGTGTTGCTCTGCATGTGGTGCCATGCAACATAGGTTGGCATGGGACACACGAGTTTAACATCCCTGCCACAGAGGAGTTGATTTCCTCATTATAGGCAGATAGTGCCTTGGGTGCCCATCCCAGTAATGTCGTCTTCTTCCTGTGCTGGAGTGGCAATTTTGTCCTTGCCTTAGTATCACAATAGCAAGAGAGATTTGGAAGTTACACCTACTCTCTGTTCTAAGTATGCACTTCTATGTTCCTCTGACTAAACCATGTACTAAGTCATAAAGGTATATAAAGAGAGCATGATATAATCTATAGAGTGATAAAAGTGACATAAGTGGATACAGCATAACACGTGTCATATCAGTAAAATAAACAAGAAAATCTGAATGACACCTTATGAACCCCCAGCCCCTGGTGGGGTTTGTGACAGGTTTTACATTATATTTATTTTCACCTTGGAGAAAGCAAGTAAGATATGCACAAATTTTGATTTGCTTGTTTGATTAAAAGATATATGAGCTCTTTGTGTACTCCAGGGTTAATGTTATGCGACTGATCACAACTTGCCAAACCCTTTCCATTTTTTTCCCCTCCATTACTTTTTCATCCTAAATTTAAAGGGCAGTCTAGTAGTCGATGGAGGACATATAGTATGACAATGGCTTATTTTTTCTACTTTTATGTTGGCTTCAATGCATCACTTTCTACCTACAGCTAATTATTTCTCTAGCAAGCTTAAAAATAATTTTGTCTTGACAGTTGTTTGGTTAGCATTACAGGTCCTCATAACAATTATTCACTGGCATTAAAGGCTTTCTACAGTCTGGGTTCTGTGCCAGGAGTTTCTAGTATGCTTGTTATATCATCAGTTAAGACTTTGACTACTAACTGCATAATACTTAAAACATGTCAGTTATTTGTGCACCTTATTGTTTTATAGTTGGACCAAATACTGGAAGTCAATGCATGTCCACTTTTACTATCATATTTCTCCAGCCAAAAACCTTAAAAACCAAGTTTCTTCCAAAACCACAAGCTGTCAGAGCTTTTTGGGTATGAGACTAATTCATTTCTTAGGTTCTGGCCATGTATCCTGTGTTACTGGGATTTATTAGCAACTTTCAGCCCCAAACAAGTGGACAGGTGGCACTTTCTTCAGGGTGTATTTGTCTTGCTTAACCCCTGATGGAGTTTAGATGTCTTAAAGTAGGGGTGCTTAACCCCTGGCCTTCAGTCCAGATGTGGCCCACGGTCCCATATCATCCAGCCCATGGGCTCCCCACAGGTTTGGAAATTTGGCAGTTGAGGAGAATGGCTCTCCTGCTGCCAAATTTCCAAATTTGGTGGTTGGGGAGGTTGACTCCCTTGCTGCCAAATTTCCAGACCTACGGGGAGCCCCAGCTTGCAGGACCAGGTCGGGGCAGTGCCAGGCACCAGGGCCCTATCCTGGTGTGGGTGGCAGGAGGGGTCAGCACCAGGCCCCAAGGCTTAATCCTGGCATGTAGGGTTCAATCTGGCTTATGGACCAGGTCTGCACTGCTCGTCTGCAGGTGAAAAAGGCTTATTATCACTGTTTTAAACCAGTGATTCTCAACCAAGCATGGTGCCTGGAGATCCTTTCAAGGGTGTCATGAATTCCTATGCAATTAGCACTATTAGGTGTGCAAAATGATTCCCAATAAAAACTCAGATCTCAGATAGTAATCTGTAATATTAAGCCATGTTGACCTCTTGTTATCTATGATCTTTTCCACAGGAAAATCACTCTATTTTCTGTCGGCAAAAATGAGTGAAAACTAAGAACTGGCATTTTCTGAGAGTACCTCAAGCCTAATGAGGGGTGTCTTGAGTTTAAAAGGGGTTGAGAACCACGGTTTTAGTTTGTACTATTGTAGTGTATTGGTCAATTTGAAAACAAGAATTGATTAGTTATGAAGGCACAGCTTATTTTATTCTAGAATTAATACAAACTGGGCAAGCTTTGTTTCCTTATGCCTGTCATTCTGTCACTGATAAGTAGGTAGTAGGGAAAAACCCTGACTCCTGCTGGATTTAGACTGCTGTATAGCGTAGTGTTCTTTAAGAGTAAGTGCTGGTTTCTCATGGCCTGCATCTGACTGTCTCTACAGTTTGAGGACCTTGGCCTTAGGAGTACTATACACACAGAGCACACCTATAAATTCCCACAAAATGCTAGAAAGAACTGTGGTGACCTTTATTTTTGGAGTACCGGTAATTCATCCTTTTTTGTGTAGACTAATCGGTTGATTCTGATTATCTAGTGGCCTGAATGTACTGGATGAATCTGATATGCTTCTGGTGAGTGACCTTCAAATGGGATGATTGGGCTCAAAAGGGCAAAAAACAAACGTGTTTTTCATTATTAAAAGAATAAATCCATTAATAGGTGTGCAGAAGATCTGATCTCATTTTCACTAGGAGATCCACGTTCAGCACTCTTTTGGACTAGCATGTAAAGTGTTCTTTTCTCATCACCTCAGTTAAGCTCAGCAAGTAAAATTCTACAGTAACATTTATTTCCCTTTTTGCTGTCAGTTCCTGTGTTGGATGAGTTTTTAAAGCTTATGCAAACACCTTTAGACACCAGAATTTACACAACCATTTTACATTATTAATCTGTTTAGTTGATCCTTATACAAAACAATGTCAGTGTAAATTTTGGCTTGAGTTGGATAGCTTTCTTTTTTTTTTTTTTTGTTTAAAAAAAAAAAAAATCCACTTGTAACACAACGCAAATATGTCTACCAGTTTTATTTTAAGTATTTTTTTTCAAAATACAGCTATTAACTAGCTTTTTACCAGCTCTCTCTGCATTTAGTTGCATTTGCCTGTTGGGATCAGGGCATGGGGGCCCTTCTGTGCAAGCATGTACTGATAGATAATCCTATCCCATTTGTAGATGAAGGAATTGTGCACAGATTAAGAAACTTTTGCAAGGTTGCATAGGTGAGTTTGGCAGAGCTGGGAACTAAACTTGGCTGCCCTGCATCCTAGTCAGAGCCTTAATAACCAGACCAAGCTGCCCCTTTCAGGTGAGTTTTAACACAGTCAAATAAGCTAGTTTACAACAGGCAATTTTTAAAATCCCTTTAATTATATTAGCATTTTTATACTACCTTATGGCCTGTTGTACATTCCTGGCTCTTAACATGAGGCCAAATCCTGCAGTGGACATTCATTACTTGGGTGTGATCTGTATCTACTCTGTGCCATCATCTTCCCTTCTTCCCTATTACCTCCTCCTGTCCCTCCTCCCTTGCTTCTGTGCAGGCAAGGTGAAACTTGTTTTGGTTACTTTGCCTGGAACGTGCATATTTCTCCAGTGATTCTTAAGATTTGTCCATTTTTGATTCTCTCCTGGCTGGCAAGAGCACAACGAAGCAGGTATCAAGAACCCACGTATGGTCCTTGGCATAAGTCAAGAATCCCAGCACTGGGATGATACTGTACGTTCGATCTCATGCTCCTTACTTTGGAGGCTTTTGTTTTCCCACACCAGGGGAAGTTTAAAAGGAACTTGGAAGCATCCTAAAGCCTGTGTGTGGAAAAAAAAAAAAAAAAAAAAAATGAAGACATCTAAGCCAGGCAGAATCAATCACTGCAGGCTTTCCCCATATTGCCAGACAACATGCTTAGTTCTTGGCTGGAGTGACTGTCTCTCAGGGCCATCAAGTGTTTAATTTTGTGCATCAGATCATCCTCACTATCTCTACTGAAATAGATGGAGGCTGCTGTTTAATGTCAGTTTATAATAGTATGAGGTAGGTTGTTTTGGTTTTGTCCTAGATGCTTCTAAACAAGTGGTCTCCAACCTTTTTAAGGTGAAGATCACTTTTTGAAGAAGAGGGCAATCCAGAATCTACTGCGCCCCCAGGATGGTACTTAGAGATAAGGAGATCTGTGTCTGAATTATTGAGACCCCTATCAGGGAGAATCTATTTTTATTAAACTATGCTTTCTATATCAGTGGAGCCGAACTTCGCGATTCACAGATAGTGGTGGTATCTTCCACGTGTGGGGGAAGCCTGCTTTTGAAGTACCTCCTTCTGGTTGGGTGCATTTGTCTTGGTTTCTTCTCCATATTTTGCTTTTATTAAAAGATCTGAAACAAATCATCAAATTCCAAAGTAGTGGTCCCCTCCTGAGCTCCAGTTTCTTAATACTTTTAAAATAAACACATTGTACCCTAGCACTTTGATAGGGTGACCAGTCAGAGCCTTTGTCTTGGAAGATGAAAAGCACTGTAGAAATGCTAAATATTAGGAGTAACTTGGCTTATAACGTGTTTTCTCTTCCTTCTCCCCCTACAGTCTTTAATTTTAGAAATGATTATTTAATGAGATGAACAAAAGTAAACCACATGTAACTGAAGGATAAGCAACCAGTCCTTTGCCAGGAGAGAGCCATTTACCCACATCTCTCACTCCTTTTACCTTTATAATTCCTATTACGGAGTTTTATGGTGCCAGATGAGTTGGTACAAGGTGCTGTGCAAGGAACAAATACTACCTGAAGTTCAGCTTCTGTTGGCCAAACTGATGCTTGTCCTATATAAAGTTATTTCACTTTTTTTGAAAGAGCAGAGTTCAGAGTGACAAATAACTTATATTTAACATCCTTTTAACTACCTAATGGGTCATCACTCTCTATGGAACAATACCAGATGTTGCTATTACTGGCTGAATATTATTAACTGCTGCTGTGGAGCTGGCCAAACTGTTCTGCTTCATGGCAGTACAGGAAGGTTCTGGACTTACTCTGCTGAACACTTCCTTTTAGATCGTGTTTTTAATTTTTATAGCCTTATCCGTCATTAAAGTGTACCATTTATCTGTTTTTGGCAGAGTTTTCCAGGACCTTGCAATAGATGATTTGTACTCTATTGGAAAGAAGTGAGGAAAAAAGCAAATGACCAGAGTAGTACATTTATATGCTCTTTGGGGGTGGTAACTAGTTTTATGTATTTTTGCTTAGTATGTAGTATAATGGGACCTGATCTGGACTGGGACTCTGAGCAAAACTAGAATGTATTCTCTGTATAATTACACCTTTCTTAAAAGAGCATTATGAAGCTTGCAAAGTCAAGGGCTCTAAAATTAGGCACTTCCAAAATTCATGTCATCTCTGCTACCTTAATTTGACTTCCTTGTGCACATGTTATGAAGTAGTCTTTCACTCCATGATTAATGCTTGTGATTTCCAGCTGCCCTGCCCTGCTTCCACTAATGCACAGAAAGTAGTGCTTATTTTAATGAGCATTTGTTCATTATTTTGTTTACTTCTCCTTGTTCACTGCATGGGCCTGTGCTTCATTGACTGTACACTCTTCGACCTTGGCTCTGAAGACACAATTATTAACCTCCTCATGGGCTTCTCTGCTTTGCTATAGTCTCTGAGGGCTTAATAAACATTAATCATTTTGTTTTCACCAATGCCCTATGAGGTGAGGCTCTATTACTTCATTTTACAGATAAGGAGATATGAATTGCAGAGAGAACAAAGTTAAAGTTAGCAGTATCCACTGATTTTTTTTTTGGGTGTCCAGTGTGACAGATCTGAGACCTGAAATTTTGGTGTGCTTGATATATAGCTCTTTGTATGTTCAGGGCAGAGCTGTCATTTTGTGTAGATCAGATTCAGGATCTCAGATCAGGCACCCAAAACATGAGGATTATATAGCTAGTAATCGTCCATGAAAATTTGGTTTAAGTAATTTTGTAGCAGAGGAAGGGATAGATTCTAATTCTTCAGGGTAGCCTTCACCTGCCTTAAATATGTGACCGTTGCTTTTCTTCCTGTAGTTCTTTTCCTCGCTCCTTGCCCTCTAGCTTATGAAACAAATGAAGAAGGTGGGCAGTCTTTTTTTACTACACGACCCTGATTCATGTCTGGAGCAGAAAGGCTCCACGGGCAGCATTAATTCCAGCATTTCTGAACTCAACTCATTTCTGATGCTGCAGATACTCTTAATGCAGGGTGTGTGTGTGTGTAACTGCTTCAGCTTTTAAAAAAGCCACTGAGAAGTAAATTCCATGATAAACATGGGGGTTGTTTTGTGATATCGTGTATTAGATCAGCTTCATAGCTGGGGCAGATGTTTGACTGCCTGTCCTAAGGATTTGAGGACGGGCAGTGTGTACTGGAAAGCTAGTCAGACCTCTCTCCCAACTATCCAGTTGGTCCAGTGAAAGATATCACAAAATAACCCTTGCCTCTCATACATTTCCTGGACCAACACGGTTACAACAACGCTCCAGCTCCATTCAGCAGTAGCACAGCGATACATATTGTTGGCAGGGTTATGTATTTAGCTTGAGTGAACAGACTTCTGCCACTTGAGTTAATGGGTTTATTGATAGAGGTAGACAGCCCAGCAGTAGAGGGAGGTTGAACATTTTGCCTGTGGGTTTGACAGATGTCTGTTGAAAGGAAAGAAACGGTGAGCCTCAAAAATGGAGTGGACACTCTTTTGCTCTATCTCTGCTTTTGGTGCTAGTCTGTTTCTTCTCTGAACCCCAACATGCCCGTCCCGCCAGTCGGTTCCAGTTTTCCTCTTTTTTCCCCCTGTTGGTTCTCACTCTTGACCAAACAGACTTATTCATACTTCCAGGCTGTTTCCCTCTGTGGCTCTCAGTTCTAGGCTTCTCTATCAGAAGAAATGATTTAATGGACTTCTCTAGCCTTAAAATCTGGGCATTCTCTGCTGCCCTCTCCCTTTGTCAGCTCCCAGTCCCAGTCTCTTTGCCCTTCCTGGCCTAGTTTTCCTCTTCCAACCCTTTTCAGTCAGAGTTGTGGAGGCCACAGCACCAACTGTTGCTGAATTCCACTGCGTATCTTCCCTAGCTCCAGGTAGTGCCAGCTAATAGTGTTAGTATTTTCTCTGATTAGGCAGTGCTAATCCAGTCCCAATTTCCAAAAAATATATACGAAAGAGCTTTAAGCATTCAGTATGACATATCCCTCAACATCTGGCATGCAGTATACATCTTAGCCAAAAAATAAAACATCTCCTTTGTTTAATCTGCTTATAGAAATAGTGCACCAGCAGTCCATATGCTAACTGTTATAAAATAACTTTTGGCTAAAGAGGGACCGGCAGAAGAATTCTTTATAGGCATCCCCAAGCAAAAGGATATGGTATTTTTAAATTGTCTGAATTTTTTGGCTGAAATTCATAACGTGAAAGGTAATAGGTCAAAATTTTGCTTGGCTAAAGACTGCATAGGACTTGTCTCTTTGTTTTGGTAGCACTTCAGATTTGCTTGTTGTCACCATGTCACCCCAACTCTGCTTTCTGT